CGTAGGATACAAGAAAGGCATCGCTTGTGGGGGAGCTCAGCCCAAACAGAGTCATGGGTCCGTCTTCAACGGAGGGACATCTTTTTTTTGGGGGGGTCCTATCGCTGAGCTTTGGGCGCGACTCCTACGTCTCACGGCATTCCGTCTCTTCGTCCCTGATACACGAGTATTGACCCTTGCTCATATATCCCGAATTTCCACTTCATTGTCAATTTTCCATTTGATCCTCCACTATAATGTTAAAACCACATCTGCTGCCACCCTAGACCCTAAAACCCAAAACCCTAAATCCAACAGCCAGGGCAGCCAGGGCACCAAACTGATAGCCGCGCTTCTCATTGTCACTGCTCTTGCCTTGCCATGCTACCCTTTAAACCCCCAAACCCCTAAACTCTAAACCTTTAAACCCTAAACCCCCCAACCCCTACACCCTAATCCCTTAATCCTGAATCCTAAGCCCCAAACCCTAATCATGCAGGCTTAGTTTCCTCTTAAGGCCTGGGCAGGGGATGGAGGAGATCTTTGAAGGAAACCAAACATGGGATTGAAGACTTCGGTAGGGCTGTGATGGACTAAATGAAGTGTAAAGATTGCATAGAGGTAGTTGTGCCTAAGGCCAGGGCTTAATTCATAAGTAAGGAAGAATGGGGAGGGAACATAGGTACCCTTGTAGATTTGTAGTATGCATTGTTGACATCCACGTTCCTGTTCTGAAGCTTTCATAGTTCACTTCCCTAAGGGTCCAAGTACTCCATAATCACGTACTTAATCCAAACCTGCACCACAACCAGAACCAAAATCCTAAGCACCCAAAGTTTGGGTACATGGACCCTTCGGGTTTGGGAGGAGATATTATGGGTACTTCTCTTGTATGACCTCAAACCAATCCTATGAAGTCCGCCGTGAACCTCACCCCCGGACCCTAAAGATTTTCCTGCTCCCATGTGCTAAGCGCTAAACCCACAATCATTGCCCCTTTTCGGCACCCTACACAGGGGCTGTATTACACACTCTAGACCCTAAGCCCCAACTTCACATATACTTTCATGAGCGACATGCGAGATGAGCCTTCCGCACGTCTCTGCACGGCGCTGAATGCCCAGCAGGGGGACACTGCCTATGTTTTGGGGTTTAGGGTTTAGGGTTTTAGGGTTTAGGGTTTGGAGTTCAGGGTTTTGGGTTTCGTGTTATACTGGACATTTAGAAGGCTTGTAAGATTGATGCGCCTAAATGGATACCAACAATCGAGAGAACATGAACAATGAAAGGGAACTTGGGCTTATACAAGTCTGATAGCAATGTAGGGAGGCCTGAACAACCATAAACCATACTTATAGAGGAACCCGTTACCCTAGATTCAGGGCTCAGGGGCTTCGTGCGTAGGATCTTCAAGTTTCGGAACCATTCATGGGAGTTGTCTCAGCTTGATCTTTAGGTCTCCACAATCATTGAGGGCGCGGGAATTCCAGATAGGATGCCAACAGGGGCTTCAGAGAACACATCTCTTATGGCGTCTACAAGGCCACTCCCGCTTTTTGAAGGAGGCAACGCCACACCACCTCGGATACTTAAGGTAGCATAAAAGTGTAGATGCATGCTGCTAGAAGGATCAGAGCACAAAGAAACAACCCTGGGGCAGGGTAGTGCGGTTAAGGGAGCAGCGGCGGGGGAGAGGGCTACAGTTTAGGGCCGCTAGCGTTCTGGCTGCACTCACTTCACAAGCGGAAGCATGAGAGGGAACTAAGATCAAGAACCTTCCTGTTCGCAACCTGGCTTCCAACAAGCAAGTAGCAAACTGGCACATGAAATTGTTGACTAAGACCCTGACGACCGAAAGGCCGTATGTCAGCTATAGACTAACGCATGAAACAACCGAGTAAGGCATGCAAGACGCAGAAGGGCATGTCGCCAGACCAAAAACATCCAGCGCCTGAACTTGCGATAACTCCAAGCTTACGTGGAATCTAAACTGACCTCCCCGCGGATGATGCGGAAAACTTATCAGCAACCGTATCACGAGTTCAGAACTCTGACCCTAAACCCTACACCCTAAGCCCTAAACCCTAAACCCTTGAACCTAAACCGTGGGCTTCCCAACCACCAGCCTCCCGACAGTACCACTCCAAGGTTCTCCCGTAATTAGGCTGTTGGGATGGTTTTTTGCCTAATGACGCCGAATGTGAGGGAGCCTTCCATTGAACCCCAAAAGCTAAAAGAGCCGGAGGTCAGCATACTGATGCATCCTGACTGCCTTAAAGAAATCTTGGCAAAGATAGAACAAGTCCGGGGCTTAGGGTTGATAGGGAATATATAGAACGATCCAGGACAGCGACCGTGACAATGATGATCAGAAGCACGTGCCTCCGCATTAGAATGCCGCAAACCCTTGACCCTAAACCCTAAACCCTCCGAGGAACTCTATGCCCTGAACACAAGCAGCCTAAGCCGGTCACTCTATGATCCAACAAACCTACACCTCGTATGCGCCACAAGCTTTAACTCCTTATGGGCTTATTAAAGGGCATACCAGTAGAAGGAGTTTAGACTATGGCTCATATAGTCCCTTAAGCTTACACCCTTTAGCCCTAGACCCTAAATCTTACACCTTGCATCCCCTAAATTCTACACCTCATAGTCGCTGAATCTTACAGCCTGTCATACCTAAGCCCTACAACTACAGTCTCTACACATGGACGGCCAGGGACTTTGTAAGTATGTTTGTGATCCCTAGATCGAAGCCACATGAGAAAACGAATGGACGGTGCCGGAGCTATTGCGGGCGTATTCCTGCCTCGCGTGAGGGCACCGCAAAGTATAATCTTGAGTCTTGAGCCTACGTCTGCCCGAGACAAGAGACGGCCCCTCCCCTCCCCCAACTCCCTCGTGGTTCAGGGTTTAGGGCTTAAGCTTTAGGATCTGCAGACAGCCCTCGAAGCTCACCTGAGATAGTTGAAGGTTTCTAAGCCCCAAACCTAGCCTCAGGATGCCCTGGAAACATCTTTTCAACCCTTGCTTAATATTATAAATCACGTATATAAAAAGCTGGGAAGAATCCCCAACCCTTGTCTGACGCTAAACCCTACGCACATCTACCTGCGAAGTCTACCTGACCCTCCAGACCAGCCCTACAACTAATCACGAAGCCCAGCTAAATCCTACACCCTAAACCCCAAAACCCTAAACCAAGTACAGCCAACGCACGAGCCAGGAACTCCGGTAGAAGAGTGCAGCAAGAGCCTAGGCTGGAGCTGAGGATTGAAATGTAAAGCAAAGGTTTTTCAAGGGATATATAGAATTCTTTAGGGGATATCTAGGGCGATTTAGTCGATATATAAAAATCTTAGGGGATATCTAGGCTTCTAATATAAGGGGATATCTAGGGTTCTTTAGGGGATATCTTAGATATCTAGGGTTACTTCGGGGATATCTAGGGTTTTTTAGGGGATATGTAGGGCTACTCAGGGGATGTCTAGGGTTATTTAGGGGATATATAAAGGGTTGTATAGGGGCTACCTAGGGTGTATAGGGCATTGGGACCTAGGGAAAAACAAATGGAGAGGAAGATGGACAGTTAATTGGAAACTGATTGTACCTCAGTTTATAGCGATCGTAATGTAGGGAGGGCTGAATAGTTACCCACACCATGATGAGGTCTATTTAAGGTACCCTCTAACATGACTGATTGTACAAGGAGTCGAGGACCATCATGTTGGCAATCATTTGGGTCTAGACCCTAAACCCTAGACCCTAAGCCCTACACCCCCTAAAGCGAAACGGCTTGGGATCTGGGCTTCCATGCCTTAGGCATACACGGATTCGCATGGATCTTGAGGATACAGGGTTTCGGGAGGGTATAGTCCCCCTTCGGTCGAAAAAAACACGAGAAGATCTCCATGTACCTTGCATATTCTATCTACTTATGAGGTCTAGGTTTTAGGGTTTAAGGTTTAGGTTTAGGTAGGTTTACTTGAGGCTTATAGTTTAGGGAGGTATCTTGCAAAATAGCAGCTACTGGTGTCATCTAGAATTTGAAGTAAAAGAGACTCTGGGTACGCAATACTACTGTGATCTTCAGTTGTAGCTAAAGCGACTGTGGGATATTTTGCCCTGTTATGACTTGGGTTTGTCCCTACCTAGCCCTCAGCCCTAAGCCCTTAACCCTACACCCGGGTCATACATACTAAGGATTGGCCCGCTCAAGAGCTTTCAGATTAGTGGTTTAGGGTTAAGGGTCTAGGGTTCAGGTGTCTCTTTGGACCCTGTATATATAGGGGCCATACTACAGTGGGACCCTGCAAAGGGGACCCTAATGTTAACAACCTACCAGTAGACCCTATCATCTACACACGAATTTGCCAGAATACCCACCTAAGTGGTAGTTTCCCTAAATAAGGCGACCCCAAAATTGACACAAATAAATTATAGTCCTCATTATAGTGACACCCAAAATGGTACCCCTAATTTTGGGAAACCCCCAAGTAGACCTGAGCTGTGAAACGCGGATTGTGTGGTCCAAACTCCCCGTAACCAGCGGGTGCCTTGATCAAAGCCAAGTGATTAAACGAGATTAGGTCTCAGGGTTTAAGGTTACTTTCGGGTCGCTATAGGACCTGCATCTTCATTCCGATTCCTAAAATCTCAGTTCCACATGCTACTTTCGCAAGGAATGCCGACAGCTGAAAGATCCAGAGGTTCGTGTCACCACCAGCGGGACAGTTCTTCTTCCAAATCACAGGATTTCCGGCGCGGTAAAAAAAAAAAAAAACTTCTTCCCTGGTACGTTGGGCGAATGAAGGGGACCTAGTTCTGAGACACTAACATTCCTACAGCGGATGGAACGAAACCTGGCACACAGCACCTCCCTAAACCCTAAACCCTAATCCCTAAACCCACCTAAGTTCCTTGGAGCTGAAAAATTTACTATATGGGAGGCTGCAGGTGATCCTGAATTTCCTCCATCAACTGTACAACATATGGGTAGTTCCTAAAATTGGGTCACATTTTGGTAGTCCTCAACTTATCAGGTGCTGTGATGTAATTCAGAGCCAAAAGGGGCCCAAGATTTTGAGAACAACCCATATCTGGAACCCTGGACTCCAAATCCTGAGCCCTTCCTGAGGCTAAAAAGTCGCAGCACTCAAATAGGACCCCATAGCTGTCACATGAGCTATAGTCTAAACTCCTAGTATCCCCCTCAATAGGGCCTATAATACTCCGCATACCCTACATAGCCCCCTTGAAAGTTTGGACCATAGCTTATATGGCTTTCAGCAACCAAACAGATGGAAGCTGAGTCATGTGCCAGTAGCCGCCCTCGATGGCGACTAGCAGGATGCCGCTGTTGCATTGCGAGCGAATTTTCGGAAAGGCGGAGGGGAGGGGGGGTTGTGGGCAGTTCAGAGGCTGCGGTTTAATGGGCGAAGAGCTAAGGCAGACGCCACAGTCACAAGTGCTCTAGCCCCAGGTAGAACTCTGAGAGCCGCCCATTGATCAGATTTTTTGCTATCCCTTCAGGTAACATAGCGATGCTTGTAATGTGTGGGTTGCGTAGGGGGTAGATGGTAGTGCAGGCGTTAGGGTTCACGATAAGAAGGCTCTGGTAACCCCAACCCCTTCGATAATGACCCTCAAGGGTCAGATGATCGTGGTAGGGTCCTAATTCGAGAGGTGGGGGTGGCCTATAACCCGCGCTAACGGCTTGAAAGGTGCTCTGAGACTTGTAACTACTTTGATAGGTTGTTCAGGTTGTGAATTGTCATTTTTGCGCCAGGGTGTGAGGAATGTTCAGCATGGATCCCGTTAAACACACTTTAGGATGCACAGGACATGGCTGCCACCGACTGCAAGGCAAATGGGGCTTGAGCCGCTGCATGGAACGCTAAACCCCAAATTGGCGTTGATGCGGGCACCGGGCTCCTTTAACGGGGGACCATAGAATCCTAAATCCACAGCCCTGAGTCCTGAGCCCTGAGCCCACATCCGCAATGCTGAGCTAGGGCCTAGACGTCTTTTAGCCTCAGGGTCTAGGGTTTACGCCTGCTGACTACTGTCAAGAACCATGAGGCATTTCCCGGAAAAAAAGTGGTTCCCTTTTGAGAGTTAATGCAACAGGTCTGTAGTGTTCTGGGCCATGCGAGGGGTACCCTATCTTAGCAACGGCCTCTGCGTCACATCACTTGTGCTGTAAGGCCAGGACTTGGAGCACCGCTGCTACCACGGCGCCTGGTTCAAAAAGAACCCCTAAGGGTCCAAGGA